TGCTGAACCCATATCTCCAGCGCCCCCCTTACCTTCCCAGCCCACATCCCATAAGATCGGCTCTCACTTCTCCAGGCTTAATCCCATTTATGCCTCCAGCAACGCCCGCCCCTTTTCCTCCTCCTTTCCCAGTCAAACTCCCCGAGTCGCCCCTCCAGCCCACCCCTGTCTCCTCTCTTCCTTTTCCCTCTCAGTCTGCCCTGCCTGCTCTGGACCCCAACATCACAAAGGCCCTTGCCTAGCCCACTAGGGGCGGTCCCTGCAGGCCGACCCAGCGGTCATGCTGTCCTCGTTCATCCCCCTCGGAGCGCAGCCAGTGACCCATGCTGCTCACCTCGTTTTGCCACGGGATGGACACGGAGCCCGTGGAGAACTTGGAGTAGAAGTCATCATCCGTGTGGTCCAGGTTGACGCCCTTCACGGTGGAGAACTGCTCGATGTCCAGTACGTCCTTGCAGTACACGGCTCGGGGCTGAGAGGCAGACGCTCGGTCACACGGGGCCCTGCCTATGGCTCCGGCATCCCTGAGCCATGCCCTGGGGTTTTGATGAGGGAGCAGAGGGGGCGTCTTCTGGAGCCCTGATGCCCTAAAACCTGTGCTGTCTTCTCTCAGATCCAAGGGGTGAAATGCGAGCACTGGGGTCCCAGATGCCCTTCCAGGCTCCTTTCTGCCATGGCTCCCTCACGTAACCATAGGCCATAGGTGGCCCGTCTGGTTGGGCCGAGGAGCAGATGGGGCAACTCTGTTTCTAAGCCCGCTCCCTTCGGCACCACCGGTCATTTCCACTCTGCTGTCAGAGAGCCTTGGTTCCTAAAGCCCAGCTGGTCGCCAGGAAGGTGGTAACATTTCATCCCTGTGGCATGAGGGGCTGCACTGGCCACCGTGTGGGACATCTGGTCACCTCTGTCATAAAGAGAATGGATGCTGGGGACCAGGGCCGGGGTTCAGCCTTGTAGGGAACACACAGCAAAGGGAGGATACCCTGGGGACTCGGGGTGCAGCTCTAGCAGAAATACCTCTGTCCAGACCCCTTCTCCCTCAGCAGGCAGTGAGGGCTTGTGGTTTGGCAGCCAGGCTTATAGCCGGACTGACCTGGCCCGGGGTCCCCGCTGGGGGCTTAGGAACTTTAGGGAAGTCACATGATCCCTTGAGGCTTCTTCATCCTTAAGTGTCCCTGGGAGGATGGGAGAGTAGGGGGTCACTGGCCTCACTGGACCGTGAGGAAATATAAGCTTAGAAGGGATTTGTCCACGTTCCCCAGGCCTAGGCACACACCCGAGGCTCTGAGCAGCCAGGGCGGACTCCCTGCTGCACACTTGCTCTGCACTGCGGGCAACATCAGCAGAGTAGCCTGGCAGGAAGGGGCAGTGGGCACTCTTTCTTCCCTACAAAGACAATGACACGACTGACACTGCATGATCTGACATAGAGGCACTGCACGGAGGGGCCAGCTGTGGGCACAGGCCTGCTGGGGAGGGTGGCTGGGCGAGCTGTCACCTTGGAGCTACAGGGCAGGGGGAGAAGGAGGTGGAGGGAAGGAGGCTACTCACATCTGGAACGAAGGGAGGGTCCAACATCCCAGCTTCTAAGCGCTTGAAATTCATGTTCCTGAAGAAAGGGTGCCTCTTGACCTCTGCAGCACCCTCCTCCTGGCAGCCCAGCCTCTGCTTTGCATCTTTGGTGAGCAGCTGTAAGAAGAGGGCCCCGTGAGGCAGGCTGTTGGGCCTTTCCTCCCATCCGGAGGCCAGAAGGGTAGAGCGGCTTTGGAAACTCTGTGGTCAGGGTCCTTCCCATGTGTGTATCCGTGCCCCGCAGGTGCCCCTCCTCAAGCCTCTCCAGTGTCGGTGCCACCCTCAGATACCCTGCCGAGCTCTCACTCAGGGTCGCCTCCCAAGCCATGCAGCTGTGGTCACACCGTCACGGCATGGTTAGATGCATTCCAGAAGGGCAGGAATTTTGTCTGCTTCTCCCCATGACCACTACCTACGGCCCAGGGCATGGCGGGCGCTCATGAAGATTCGCTGAATCAGTGGGACTTTTCTTGTTTTGTTTTTTTTCTTTAGGCTTTTGCTACAGGATGCACACACGTGAGTGAGAGAAACTCGAACTACAGTCAGCCGTGTAGAACTCCAGTGCCTTAACCACCAGGCCACCCACTGGCCCCCAGGGCAGCCTCTTTTGCTCCCAGTAAGCACAAAGGGAAAGGGCTGCATTTGTACATCTTTCTCATTCATTTCCTAGCTAACTCAGGAGAGAGGATGCCACACTCATGGTGGTAGCAGCGGGGGTGTAGCTGTGTTCAGAGGGTACCTCAAGGCAATACAGGCTCAATACCTTGGGGCCAGAGGAACAGGAGCTGGCTGCCAGCTGAGGGCTGGTTTCATGGAAAGGAGGCTCTTGCAAGACAAATACACTTTCAAAAGGCAGCGAGGTGGAGAAGGCGTACAGGTGGAGGGAACTGCCCCAGGCCAGTCGGGACATGCAGCGTGTTGGGGGAATGTTCAAAGCATGTAGGGTGTGAGAGAAGAATGAGGGTGTGACAATCAGTCAAGGGGATTGGGGGTGGGGGTGGGGAGGGGGGATGAGGAAGGGTCCTGAAGGCCTGTCAGGATTTGGGATTTTAATCTGGAGGCAAAGGAGTGAGGAATGGTTGGGATAGGGAAATGTCCTCACTGGAACCGAGACAGAAACATTAGCAGGGGAGGAGAGTCTGTAGGCAGAGACACCAGGCAAGATGGAATGCAGGTGTGGACGAGGGCCAGAGTGCTGGACCCAACAGGCAGGGCCTTGAATGACCCCTGCTGGTCAGATGACCTCAGGGTCTTGGCCCCTCCCCAGCTCTCCTGGAACCCGGCCACCACCCCACTTTTAAAAAAACAATTTTTATTTTTAAGTTTTTGGTTGCCAGAGAGAGACATAGAGAGAGGGAAAGGGAAAAATCACCCCTGGGGAGATGGTCATGCTGCAATCCCTTCTCTTCCATTCTCCTCTCAGGATTTTGGGCATGCACTCACAGGTACCAGGAGCGTTTTTCAAGCTACTGGGTCCAGGACTCAAACTGTGCAGTTGGCTATGTGGGGTGGGGAGGGGGGATGAGGAAGGGTCCTGAAGGCCTGTCAGGATTTGGGATTTTAATCTGGAGGCAAAGGAGTGAGGAATGGTTGGGATAGGGAAATGTCCTCACTGGAACCGAGACAGAAACATTAGCAGGGGAGGAGAGTCTGTAGGCAGAGACACCAGGCAAGATGGAATGCAGGTGTGGACGAGGGCCAGAGTGCTGGACCCAACAGGCAGGGCCTTGAATGACCCCTGCTGGTCAGATGACCTCAGGGTCTTGGCCCCTCCCCAGCTCTCCTGGAACCCGGCCACCACCCCACTTTTAAAAAAACAATTTTTATTTTTAAGTTTTTGGTTGCCAGAGAGAGACATAGAGAGAGGGAAAGGGAAAAATCACCCCTGGGGAGATGGTCATGCTGCAATCCCTTCTCTTCCATTCTCCTCTCAGGATTTTGGGCATGCACTCACAGGTACCAGGAGCGTTTTTCAAGCTACTGGGTCCAGGACTCAAACTGTGCAGTTGGCTATGTGGGATCCAGTGCCTTAACCTCCATACCATCTCTGGTCCTCAGCTTCTGATTCTTTCTTTTCCCCTTCTCCCAGGAGCACTGAACCCATGCACAGCTGGTGTCTGCTGTTTGCTTTGAGAGTAAAATCAAGGTGGGCAGCTTGCACCACGGAGGGAGCCCATGGGGCAGGCCGGTTCATTTTCTGCAGGCTTATGGGGCAGGCACTATGCTGGCTGGGGACACAGTGGAGAGGGAGTGGGCAGCTCGGCCTCTGGAACTCACAGCCTGAAGGGGGACCTCTCACACAAAGGAACCAAGGGTAGTGAGTGGCAGGGCACGTACCAGGGTGCATCCCTGAAAGCTCAGTGGAGGCAACTGAGAGCTCAGTTACTCGCGATCACCCTTTAGTTGGACCACCAGGCTGGTGGCTTAGGGTCTGGTGCCCACACATACATCAGCCTCTCTTTTCTGGGGCTTTGCTTTCCCACAAAGGCTTAAGGAACTAGGCTCTGCGGGGCCCAGGTTCCTCCCTGTTCCCAGAAATCCAGAGGCAGCGAGGCTCCTCCTGCAGCGGCTGTCCCTGCCTGCTCCAGCCCCGAGAGTTGCAGTGCTGGGCAAACAGGTGCATACACCATACATTTGGACAAGAAAGGCAAGGGGTGGGCTGGGAGGCCTTGCTGGGCTGCTCCTCTGCTCCTACCAGGCAGGAAAATCAGCCAGGACCCAGGGCTTCTGCTTTTTTCAAGAGAGGCCAGAGAATCCAGGTCATTATGTGAAATGTCATTTTAAAATCTTGGCAATTAGCCCACTATTGCCCCCTTCTAAAGCACCAGGCAGGCTGAACAAAACACTCACCTACATGCTGCCTGTCTGCAACCTCTGTCAGGTAAAAGGTTTGCAACGATGCTATCAGGTAAAGGGGAAGGGACGGCAGCTGTGATTCCAGGTCTACAATGGGAGAAGTGCGAGGAGGAGGTGGGAGCTGGGGCAGGTGGGCAGAGAGGCCTTGTGGAGGAGAAGGGCTGTAGGAGAACCAGAGGGAGGGAACTGGGGTAGGGCAGGGTGGGGGAAGGCCCAGGGTTGGGGCTCCGCAGAGGCAAAGAAAGGTGGAGGTGAGGTCTTGGCCTAAGGACTGGATCCAGGTCAGAGAGCAGAAGTGCATGAATTCTTGGACCTAAGAGCAGGGGAGCGTGTCCTGCAGAGGGAGCTGCCAGGATGGACTGAGGGTTGGAGTCTGGGGGCCAGAGGCTGGCTTCCTTGCTGCCGTGAAACAGCTCTCCCAGGAAGGCAGGGCTGGAGCTGCCAGAGCTCAGTGACAGTCCTGTGGCCTGGAGCCTCCATGGTCTTCCTCGTCAAGCCCTGCAGTGTCCCGAGCCTGAGCTGGTTGGAGGGGACAGGGTATGCCTGACTGCTGAAACTGAGATGCTGCAGTTAAGGGTGTGGAGGAAGCCGAAGACCAGAATCCCGAGACTGCAGGATCATTTGTAGAAGATAGAGCAAGGCCAAAGGCCTCCAGCCATTCTTTCCCTGGAGGAAGACCAAGCAAGGGACAGTGCTTTCACACTCCGCACCCAGAGGTTGGGTCGGCCCTGGCAGCAGGTTCAGCCACTGCCTTCCCCACAGTGGCCACCAGGGGGAAGCAGAGGACAGCAGCACCCCAGTCCTGGCTGAGCAGGAGATCCCAGCCCAAAGCCAAAGGGGCTGACTGTTGGGATAGGGTGGAGTCCTCTGCCTCCTTATTCTCTCAGCACATGTGTCCCTGTTGGGGTCTTTCAGGACCAGAGTCTCTGAATCTCCTACCCACTTGGTGATGCTCCATCCTGTGTCCAGTTTGGTCACATTGGAGAGAGCTCTTGCCGTGACATAACCAGGGACTGCTGGCACCCACCTTTCCATTTATCTGACCTTAGCTGCACTGTCCTTGTCCCTCCCATCACCCAGGCCCAACTGGATGAATGGCTATCTGGATTTCTTTCAGGCCCCGCTTGCATGAGCGGCTGGCAGGCTAGACAGTTCTGTGTGTAATGGCACGTGCACACGCCACCCCTCAGTGTCTCACATGTAAATGACATAGCTACGGTTCTTCTCCTTTTGGACATGGTCAGATGGGAGATTTAGCCCCAAGTCCCTTTTCCCACAGCTCTATGACGTGTGAATGAATCTGGGAAGAGGAAGTGGTCAAGCAGAGGGTGGATGACCTCTGAGAGGGGCCTCTTGGGGGTGGGGGAGCTAAGCCAGACCTCCTCAGGCTACTAGCTGTGCAGCCCCGGATGTTTGGAAGCAGAAGCTTGGCTATTCGTTACCAACTCCTCGACTCGCTCTTCCTTAAACTGTACTATGGGCTTTAAGCACACGAGAACTTGCCCCAAGGCCCCTGTGGATTCAGAGAGGTGGGAAGACGGGCAGTCCCACCCACGGTTCAGCCTGTCCGTCTACGCCCCAGGTGCAGAGGGCTCCAGCGGGAGGAAGCCCGCGGGCTCACAGGCGTGAGAGCTGGTGCTCAGGCCCTTCCTGTCCCCGTGTGGCATTACAGGGAATGCCTGCCTGCGGTGGGGGTACAGCACTGCCGTGCCTGGCCCCCAAAGGAGGGTGGCTTTGAACATGGGAGCCTGAGAGCCAGACAGGAGCAGGAAGTGGTCATGTCCCCATGGGCCCTGGCTTCCAAAGGGCAGGCTGGGGGGCCAGGTGAGGGCAGAGTCCACTGGGCTGAACAGAGGCTGCAGTGGAGGGTGGGCTCCTGTCATTCCTCCCTCAATCTGGCTTCCAAGTCCCCAAACCAGGCCCCACCCACCCGGCCTGTAAACTTTATGGTCCATGTGTGGCCTGCACGTGGATGGTCATTTCTCACTCCACAGATGCTCTAGTGCAGAACCTGCGCTGGCATGACCAGCAGTCCATTCAAAGACTGCAAACATATCACTGCCCACCAGCTGCAGCACCTGCTCTCAAGCCAGCACCTTAGTCCAGAGATGGAGGGCACAGGAAGCCCAAGGTCAAAGGCAGGAGCTTCTCCCAAGGTCTCTTTGCATCTTGGCCACCAGCTCTGAGTGTCTCTTCTCTAGCTGGATGTGGGGGGATTTCAGACTGGCCACCTGAGCCTCCTTCCCTTGGTCCATGGGTGGACCTGGCTTCTCCCAGAAGCCTTCACTGGCCACCCCTGTCCACAGTGAGAAGCGCCTGTCCCTGGCCTGCAAAGTACCATCCCCGTCCACAGTGAAGAGCACCTGTTAGGTCTTGGCCTAAGGACTGGGTCCAGGGCAGAGGGCCGTGAGGTGCATGACATTTGGGAGCCTAAGAGCAGGGGAGCGTGTCCTGCAGTGGGAGCTGCCAGGATGGACTGAGGGCTGGAGTCTGGGGGCCAGAGGCTGGCTTCCCTGCTGTCGTGAAACAGCTCTCCCAGGCAGGCAGGGCTGGGCTGCTGGCCTGCAGAGTACCACCCAAGTCCTGTGCCCTGATCTCACGCTGGGCAGCTGGGGGCGGGCGTGGAGCCACCGCAGGTAACAGCTCACCATCTTGCAGATGGACTTGGCCTCCTCAGAGAACTTGTGGGAATATGCCTCCTCGGTCTCCAGGACCCGGCGGTCCACCTCTTCCCGCTTCAGCTTCTCCTTGCGGCCACGGAATGGCGACTGGCCCTCGATCATCTCATAGATGAGGCAGCCCAGGCCCCAGTAGTCAGGGCTCAGGCCGTACCTCTGGTTGTTCAGGACCTCTGGAGCTGCAGGCAGAGGAGAGGAGAGATGTGGGGAAAGGTGAGAGACAGCTGGTGGCAGGACAGAGCTGCGATACTGACGAAGGACCAGAGTTGTTCTTGTCCATCCTGGGTCTTGGACAACTTGCCCCAAGAGTGATGGTGTTGCTCACAGAAGGCCTGGAGTTCAAGGCTGGGGTATTCTTCCTCCCCCATCCTCCAACTCCAACCCTGTAGTTGTCAAAAACATCACCTCTAGGGAGCCTGCCCTGGTGGCCTTCTTCTGTGCTCCTGAAGGACTCTGACTGCGGCTTTGGAACTCTGACCGTAGTGGATGGAAACACGGAAAGACCACTTCCTTGAGGTCTCCCTAGTTAGAATGTGAGCTACCTCACTCACTGCTAGTTCATCCCAGTAACAGGATGACCCCTGGCTCAGAGGAGGTGCTGGAAGTGCATTTGCTTCAATGAATAAAGGTGAGTCCACCCAAGGGAAAGGTTACATTAAATTCATCTGGAATTCACATGACCTCCCACTGTCTCCCCACCACTTTGATAAAACGAATTACAGATTCATTCAAGTACAAAAGATAGTTCTGCATCATCAAGTCACATTGATTAACGTCTAGAGGCAATGTGTCTCCACACGCACTGGCAGGCACAGAAGAGGCTCGGCAGAGGCAGGCGATGCTGTGTGCGAAAGGCTCTCAGTGCAGATGCACAGGCTGAGGCACGCCGGGGTGCCGCAGATCCACCTGTCATCACCCTCCATCGTTTCCACCTGCGTGTGTGTGCATCTGTGTGCATGCCCATGCACCTATGTACCTGGGTATGTTTTTATCTGTGTATCTGTGCGCATGCCTATGCATATATGTACCAAGGTATGTATCTATTTTTCTGTGTATGTGTGCATGGATCTCTGTATATGTGTATGTCCTCTGTGTAAGTACATACTTACGTGTGCATTTATGTATACATCTATTGGTGTGTATACATGCATGCACACATGCATGTATCTGTCTACATGTGTGTATATGCATGTATGTATCTATCCATTTGCCATCCATCAGCATTTGCATGGGCACACCTCCCCTACAGGTTGCCAAATGCTACAGACTCTGTAGAGAACCCTCTAGCATCGGAGACAGAGCACAGAATCCACTGTTGGAGCAAGTCTGGTCAGAGGGCAACAATGTGTCTGGCCCCCGAGCTTCTGGACCCCCTACCTCCTGGCATAAGTGGGATATGTGTGTGAAGTATGCAGGGGGAAGCCCGGGGTACCCCCAATGGGAAGTTTCAGAGGACAGAATTTAACTCCAGGTCTCCCTGCAGCCCCAGGTAGTGGTCTCAAAGCAGGCTGAGGGGAGGCAGGGCAGAGAGCCCAAGGCTGGTCCCAAATGTACATGGGTGGTGACACAGCAGCCTGTGTGCTCCTTCCACTGAGGGGTGCTTTCTAACGACCTCCTTCCTCTGAGGGGGTCCCTCCAAAGGGCTGTCTGCCGCCCCACCAGATTGTTGGCCTCCCCCCAACAGCGCTGTCTGCAGTCTCTGGCCACCGACCTGACAGAGTCACATGGCTTTGAGATACAGGTGGGTTTAGAGGCAAGGGCCTCAGAGAGCTCGGTTTACTCAAGTCATACCGAGGGCCCCAACGCTCCAGCACCCCAGCCACGGCTCCCACCAAGCAGCCCTGTGGGAAGCTGCGACTCTGCTTCTCATCAGTGAGGCACAAGAGGCTGAGGGGCAACTTGGGGGCTCAGAGAGAAGACTCAGGGCTGCACCAGCACTCACCCATGTAACCGACGGTGCCCACCCGGCCACGGATCAGGTCTCCCTCAGGAATCTTCACAGCCAGCCCCAGGTCTGAGATCCGGATGTGGCCTGAGGAGGACAGCAGGGTCAGTGGATCCTGGAACAGCAGTGTGGACACTTGGCCCACCCTGGCCAGGGCCACAGATTTGCAAGGCACGTGAGCTCCCAGCACTGTCACCTGTTCAGTGAAGACTGGGACCCCAACATACCCTTCATGACCACAAGACCCTTGGGAGAGTCCAGTGCTGGAAGATGTGGGTGATCACTGCATTTAGGAATAAAACATAAAGATACAAAGGATGTCTGGCTTTGGCTGGGCGTAGGCTGATCTGCCTCATAAAATGTCCTAATGGGCTTCTTGGAAGGCTGGGGTTGGAGTTCACAGTGTCTTGGCTTGATGCTGGGATTGCTTCACGGGAAAAATCCGAGATTCTCCTGACATTTTGCAACAATTTGCTTAAGGGGAAAAATGATAAAGCAGTTTAGAAAGCAACTCCCTGCCCTACGTTGTTAGTCTTTAGAGATGGTTTCATCCCTTTGGAGAAACCAGAAGAGAGGTCATCCAGCCTGGCCTGGCGGGGCCTAGAGATGGAATCAGAGCTCCTGGTCTAGGACTGACCCCAAAGGCCGAGAGCACCACTCTGGCCTTCCTTCATCTCTCCCACAGCCACCACCCTGCAGGAAGGGCTATGTCCCTTCCCTCCCCTCTCCCTGTGGACCACCAAGGCACCCCCACAAGCCTAGGCCACAGCAAGGCCCAGCTCCAGTGCCCCCTGCCTGGCTGAAGCTGTGGCACCTGACAGATGGGAAGAGAACATGTGGGTGCCAGCGTCAGCTGCAGAAAATCACGAGGGGCAATGGTCTGAACCTGCAGCAGGGGAACTGGGCTCTTTCAGAGAGGAGGCAGGCCCTAGGCCTCCTCTCCACACACAGCAGCCTAGGCGGACTTCTGCCCAGGTCACCCACGACCTGCCTGCTCTCTTTCTCTTCCCTCTACTGGGGCTCCTGGAGTCTGGGGCATGCTGGGAGACCTGGTTTCTGTTCTTGGCTTCCCATTGACATTGCCGGGTAGTCTGGGCAGGTTGGGCCCTCTGAGCCTCAGTCTTGACATCTGTGAAACAGGCATAGGGATGCTGCCTTGCTGCTCTCTGTGGAGATGGGATCTAGTCAGGCAAGAAAGGTGCAAACTATTTCCAGGTGTGGAGGCTAAACAACTGGGAGCGATCCTGTGGCTCCTCTTTTATTTTTTTAATAATTATTTAGGGACCAGCAGTTAGCATAATGGCTATGTCACTGGATTCCCACGTAGTTGACCACAGTTCGAGTCCCAGACCCAGTGGCTTAAACTCATGCTGGGCGCATGTGTGTGCGTGCCCAAGATCCCGAAAGGAGAACGGAGGAGAAGGGATTGTGGTATGGCCATTCCCTCTGGGGGGTGATTTCTTTCTTTCTGTCTCTCTGTCTCTCTCTGTCTTTCTGGCGAGTGCATGCGCCCTACAACAAATACCTCTCCAAAAAGAAAAGAAAAGAAAGAAAAAAATATTATTTATTTAATTGTATTTACTATTTTTATTTACTTTTAAAATTTGACTAGAGAGGGACAGAGAAAAAGAGAGAAAGGAAAAGTGAGAAAGCAAGCTGTCAAGTCCAGGACTTGAACTGCAGTCAGCCATGTGGGAGTCCAGTACCTTAATCACCATACAACCTGCCAGCCCCCTGTGGCTGCTCTTTTATCTGCATGCCCACATCCAAGAGAACATGGCATGGCAACCCACAAGTAATAACCCTAACGCATTATGGCTGGTACGGGCTGACAAAACCACTTCTCTCAATTCATCCTCTTCCCTCTGAGCAAGCAGTGCATGATGCACAAATTCTATTTTACAAACCAGGTGAAATGCAGAGAAGTTGCCTGAAAGTTATGTATTTGCTCAGCATCGCTGAAGTTCTAAAGTCTCTGTCTCTCTGTCTCTGTCTCTTTCTCTGCCAGCCAAGCCATATTGCTTCACCAAGTAGCTTTATCCATGCCCACTGCCTTCCCCAGGTACCCAGGACTGAGGAGAGGGAGTGGGGTCCTGTCCCTCCTGCTCAGTTTCCCTCTTCATGGTCCCATCCTTGGCCCCCTCCATCCTCTCAGAGACTCTCTGGGAGGCCCTTTGCTCTCTTTGGGTTGCGACACTCACCTCAGCTACAGAGTAGGAAAAGGAGCTCCTCTGACTTACCGTAATCATCTAGCAGGATGTTTTCAGGTTTCAGATCTCTGGAAGAGAAAGACCACCAGCAGCTGAGTGCAGGCACTCTGGGCAGCAAGGACACACTGGGATCTGGGCGGGCCCTCTTCGGGCCACAGGTCTGAGTAGCCACCTTCTCACCTCTTGGCTTAGGCTATCTGGTCTCCCACTGGGTCAAGACATTTTGAGCTAATTTCTCTCCTTCTGGTAATTTAAAATAAATGCTGCTATTGGTCACAGGCATCTTCCCAACCCTGGAGAGTGCCTGAGAATGTTAGGAAAAGGCCAGTCCTGGCACCTGTCCACGCAATGACGGCCCCCAGCTTCTGGCTGGTGTGGTGACAGATCCCTTCAGGGCTAGGATGACCCTGAGGTCTCAGGATGCCCTGAAGGCACAGCAGGGCCTGGGAATGAAGAAAGAGAAGTTACCGAGAAAAAAACGCCAACTGTAAAATTGGGAAGAGAGAATTGTATGGGGTATCTTTGGGGACGTGCCATACCCCCTAACTCCAGCTATGTCACTGCCGACAGAAAGAATATCCAGTAATACGGCTGCCTCATCCTGCCCCAATGCTTCTTCTAGAAGATGGTGCTCCTAAGAACCACCCTGTGTTTCCAGGACAGAGGGAGAGGCAGCAGAGGGGCTTGGTTTTACTGGTACATGATCTTCTTGACGAGTAAAAGAACAGCCAAGAGGAAAGAGTGGGCAACTCAGTTAAGCCAACAAACAAGATGTGGCATCTGGATTGAGGTTCCAGTTCTCAACTAACTGGCTTTGTTTATTTAACTGATGGCAGCTGTCCTCATGGGGAGTGGTTGATGTGCCCAAATCCATTGGGCAGCCTCACAAAGTGGTAATTGGTGTTTGTGTACACTTACTTACTACAAAATTGTTGCTGCCATGATATAAATTGCAATCTTTTGACGTGTTAACAATTCCAAATAAGGCCAAAACCCATCATCTCAATAAACCAGTGGCCGCCAGTTGGAATGATAGTGCACTAGTGGACACTGGCCAGGACCCAAGCCTATGGAGAGGCCACGGCAAGAGGTCAGGGCCAAGGAGGAGGCACTGTGGCTTGCTTCCTCCCTGGAAAAAGAGGGGCTGGAATGTGGAGGTTTTCTTCTCTTTCTTTCCTTTTCTTTTTTTAAGTGAAAGGCAATCAAATGGAGGATTTTTTTTTTTTAATTTTCAACCCTTAGGGAAATTTTTCTGACTCTCTTTTCACTTGAATGAAAACAAAACAAAAACGAACATGGGGATGTAAGGGAGGGGCTGTGCGTATCACCAAGACCATTCTAGTTTTCAAAATCTTGGGCTCCCAAGATAATTTCCACCAAGAGCGCCACTGCAAAGGTACTTGGGCTGGGGACCTTCTGGACCGTCCAGGGGGCTCCCACTCTGGCAGTTTTCAGGGTATGAATTTCTTACCATCATAATGGTCTGTCCTGGTACCTTTTAGGGGCTCCTCTCCCCAATTTTACAGGAGGAAAGCAGGCTCCTCCCCCCCCCCGGATATTACTATAATTTCTGCTCCAGATGAAACACCCCCAGGGCCAAAGGACCAATAAGAAATGAGAGCACTTGTAACAATTACAATGGCAACTCACAAGAGGAAAGCACTTGAACACTTAGGGCCTGTAGACAAGGGGAATTTTGAAAATCTTACATGTCTCTTATGTATTTGCTTCTGGGATGAATGCTGATCAATGAAAGACTTTTAGGCAAAAAATATATCCCATTATAATAACATTCTGCAAGGTGGGGATGGAGGGTCAATGGAAAAGAAAATGATAGAAAATTCCTCACCATGAAAGAGCTTTTTTTATGCTTTTTAGATAGACGATAGTGGAACAGTTAGGAACAGCAATTCGATTCTACTGGATCCCTTAAACATGTAATGTAACTGTTCACTTTTAAAACAACAATATTTGCCACTATTTAAACATATCATGGACTATTTCAGATGTCTACATAGAATGTAGGGAAGCAGGCACAGAGATTTTCCAAAATTCCCCGAGGAGCACTGCGAGGAAGTTGGACGTCCTCTGCTCATTGTGGCCAGAATCTGGACACCCAGCCCTACCAAGCCTGACCCCTGGGGACTAGGTAAATGTGAAGGGGAAGTGAAGGTCAGAGTAAGTGGGACGGTGGTGGTTAGACCACATGCCACTCTGATGGCTGCCTATGGGTGGTATCGCCACTCAAGGCTTCCTGGGGCTGGTTCCAGATGGTGGCCACCAGGTGATCCTAGCTTCCTGGGCACGGAGTGGAGGGGGTCAGTGGCCATGGCCTACCCTCCTCAGGTGGCAGCAGCAGGCAGTGTGGGGGATGCCCTTCCGTACGCTTGGCTTCCCCAAGCGCTGGGGGCCAGAGTGCAGCCCCCGACTCGCTCAGTCCTAGGAGCCCCGGGCTCCAAGCTGAGAGGTATCTGTTCGCCCCTGGTTGGCCCTGTGCCAACCAGGCCTTGGTCAGGGCGATCCCTGACCTCCCTGAGGTCTCTTGGGCAGTGCCACTCACCGGTACACGGTGTTCTCGCGGTGGAGATCTTCCAGGCCGCAGAGGATCTCTGCTGCGTAAAATAGGGCTCGCTCCTCCTCGAAGCCAGGGTTACCCATGTTGTAGATGTGGAACTTCAGGTCACCCCCGTTCATGATGGTCAGGACCAAGCACAGCGCATCTTTGGTCTCGTAGGCATAGGCCAGGTTGACCTGGGAGAACAAGGACAGCGCCATGGTGAGCTCACGGGACCGCCACCCATTTCCCCATCCCTCCTCAGAATGCTTGAAGCTGGGGTTGGGTGCGGGTACAGAGTGACCTGCCGCCACTCCCCTATACCCAGATTTTCTCAGCCAACGAAGAACTCACACTCATTCCTTCCAATTCACTGCTTCGGGTGAGAAGGGGGCGGGCACCCTGACCTCTCAGCGATCCTGAGATGCTCACCCAGGCATCTGTTGGCTAAAGTTGGATGTTGCCTCATCAGTGAGTCAGAAACGCGGGATTTGGCTGCCCCTGGGATTGCGGAGAGTAATTACTGCTCGGGGGCGGTGGGAGTGGGCTGGGGTTAGAACAGAGTCTGGCAAGGACTTGCTCTTGCATGCAGGACACGCCTGGTCCACCTACCAAGGTGGTCACCAACTGAGTGGCTCTGGTCTTTTGTTGATGGAGTCCAGATGCTCAAGGCACTGCGGGGGTAGCGGGAGAGGCAGGCAGTATGGGGACTGATGCAAATTACATAGAGGTCTGTTCATTTTTCTCCATTCATGGAGTTTGCACTAATGAAAAATGGCCACCACGGACCAGGCTGGAGACTGGCTGGGCTATAAGGCTTGGATGTAAGCACAGAAACAACCAGTTGCCAGGTCCAGAACTCGAACCACAGTCAGTCATGTGGGAGTCCAGCACCTTAACCACTACGCCACCTGCTGATCTCCATAGTTATTCTTGAGGAGAGGAGACAATGGCAGCAGTGGGTGAGCGAGCTCTGGGGATTGTGGTGTAGCCACTGCAGCTGCCCTGCCTCCTCCCACAACTGCCCGGGTGATTACCACACCAAGGAAGGACTCCAGGAGGTGTCACTGGGAATTCCCTGCCAGGAGCGATCCAGGAAATCCAGCCATCCTTTTTTTTTTTTTTTGCTCAGAACATTTTTTTTTTTTTTTTGAGAGGTTTTTTGCTATAGGGTGCGGGCGCTCGCCAGACAGACAGAGAGAGACAGAGAGACAGAAAGTGAGAAATCATCCCCCAGGGGAGATGGCCACGCCACAATCCCTTCTCCTCCATTCTCCTCTCGGGATCTTGGGCACGCATGCACATGCGCCCAGCATGAGTTTTAAGCCACTGAGTCCGGGACGCGAACCGCGGTTGACTACATGGGAGTCCAGTGACATAGCCATTACGCTAACTGCTGGTCCCTCTCAGAACATTTTTTTTTTAAAAAAAGGTATTCATCTTACAAATTGTTCTGCACTCCAAATATATAATAGCTTGGAAAACAACATTTAGAAAATAAAAGCCAATGCAAAAAAGACAGATTAAAACAACTAGAACCATACAGGTTTTATATGGCTTGGACGTTATGGTTTTCTTACTGCATCATCAATGTCAGAAATCTGTTCCTTCAGCTGGCTCCATTGCTCTGGATTTAAAGAAATACCTTTTCTTCCTGGTTTCATTTCACCTTCTGGATCCATCCAATATTCCCTGATATCATTTAGAACTTTTCCTTTAGAATCCCGAACACTGACATATCTCATTTCCCCAATCTGAAACATGTCATCATCTCTGCTGCTGCTGCTCTGTTTGTAAGATGACCGAGCTCTAGAAGTTTATCCAGTCTTTCGCTTCTTCACAGGTTTTTCTGGAGCATCTTGCTTTTTCCTCTTCAACTTCTTGTCAATTTCACTGTCAGAATTGCTTTCAGAACAGCTTGACGAAACAAGTTCCTTTGATTTAGGCATTGCTCCACTCCTGCTATCAAACAGCCTTCTGCTCATTCACTCCCGACTGACAGGAAGGTCCAGCCATCCTAATGGATGGCCCTTGGGGCCAGGAGAAGTCCTGGAACCTCCCTGAGTTTGCCCATGATCCAAGACTGATGGCAGCTGGGGGTGGACTGCAGCATGGAGACCCAGTTGGGGGTGCTATCGCCCTCCCTCTCTTTATCAGGGAAGACATAAATCAAAAGCTTGGGGGGTGGGAAATGATGGTCCTTAACAACATGCTACTCAGATTTGTCAGGCACATGAGCCTTTTTCCTGAGTGGGATTCACCTGTACCACCCCAACAAGAGCCAGTGCAACCCCTTCAGAGCTGAGGGCTCCATAACAGCACTGAGGTGGTGACCAGTAGTCCCTGTCAAAGGGGGCTGGTGGTAGGGAGGAAGGTGCTAAAACCAGGGAGGCCTAGGGCCAAAATGTAGGCTAGCATCCCCCTCATCTGCCTCCTTCTGCATGGTGCCATCGTGCCATCCTCCCCTTCATCCTGCAGGCTGGCAGCTGGGGTGGCTTGGGATGAAACCCAAAGATCCAAACTTTGGTCGCCTTGCAGCATCGCTTTATAAAACCATTCCCCCTTGGGAAATGACCAAAGCACTAAGCACGGCATCTCTCCTCTCTCACACACAGTAGGTGGGTGTTGCACTGGGCAAGCTTGATGCAGAACCATGTGGGAACATCTATCAAGTGAAAAGTGCACACACCCTCTGCCATGGCAATTCCTCCATCAGCAGTCCTGTGGATGCACTCAGAAATATGCCGAAGGCACGTTCAAGGATGGTCATCACAGATTGTTTGCAGTAGTATAAAACTGAGGGGCCGGCAGGTGGTGTGGTGGTTAAGGGTACTGGACTCCCACATGGCTGACAGGTGGTTTGCTTTCTCAGTTCCCCCCTCTCTCTTTCTCTTGCTCTCTCCCTCTCTAGTCAAATTAAAATAAATAACTAAATAAATAAAGTTAAATAAGATAATAAAAATGGGAGAGAAACAATTTCTATCCATGGAGACTAGCTATACAGACTATGACTTACTTCTTCAAGGGAATGGGGTGCAGCTTAAAGATAGGGTGCACCTATAGGTCTGGCTAGAGAAAAAAACTACAATTTAGACTCCCATCTTGCCACCCCTGGGCCAGGAACTTAGAGGGAGGACTGTCCCCCATAGCTTCAGCCCCAGGGTCCCCAAGCCAGAGATCCTTCTGTCAGTCAGGTACACTTTTTTTTTTTCCTTCATTTTTTCCTCCTTCTCCTCTTCTTTCATTTGTAAATTTCTCTCTTCTCATTACCACATAGGAACGCCCTCAATCCTACAGAAACCCCACTCCCATCTTTTGACCCCTGGCAAAATTGCGCGCCGCGCTACTGCATGGTACACAACTTTTTCTTTATTCTACTTATTATTTTCTTCCCACTTATTCGGTCCTCACTTCCTTTATCTACACCATTCCTGGCGGTTTAGATAGGTCTAGAATTACGGTTCTGAAATATTCTAGTATTTTAAGACCCTCTGGGATCCTCCTTTTTCACTGAACCACCTGTGAAGGAGACACTTCTTTGTACACCTGAAGAGAATACTTTTTCTTGGATCACATTGCTAAACACAATAGAGGAGACTTTGGCTGTCTTCGTTCCACAGCAAAAAGGAAAAAAATCTACAATTAAGGGGGAAAGTATTGCAGCATAAGATGTATAAGAAGATCCTATTGACTAACATGATACAGCCTAAGAAAAAACAAAGCATATCTGGGATTACTCAGAGGGAGCTTTTATTGTTACTGTGTACTCTTGTGCTGCTTAGATTTTTACCTATGCACATGATTTTTATTACTGTTTTTTTAGGTGTTGCCATAGGGCACGTGCACTAACTGGAAGGAGACAGAGAGACACGGTGAGAGCAAAAGTGAGAAATCACTCCTCATGGAGGATGGCCACATCACAGTCCCTTCTTTTCCATTCTTCTCCTGGGATTTTGGGCACATGAACAAATGTGCCCAGTGTGATTTTCAAACTGCCGGGTATAGGACTTGAACTGTGGTCAGCCATGTGGGAGTCCAACACCTTAACCATCATGCCATCTGCTGATCCTTGCATATGTTATTTTTTATACTAACACGAGGTAGAGGCATTTAGATCTAATCATATATCCACACATTTCTCCACATTTCCCAGCCTCCCCTGCAGCTAGCTGTCCCTCATGGTGTTGAGCTTTGGCCACTGGACTGTGGGTGGACTGAGGAACATCAATCAGCCAAGGCTCAAGTCCATGTAGATACCCCTAGCACTCACTCTCTAGGCTCTAGATGAGGTAGCTGATGGGTGGAACAGTTTGGCCCAATCTGATTGGACTTAATGTGAATGAAAGACAAACTTCGATTGTATTCAGAGACTTATAGTTACTCTAAATGTGTTACTGCAGCAAAGGTTAGCCTAGACTGACTAACAACACATACATACACAATGAAATGGTATCTCTCTAGAATACTGACATAAGGTCTCTCCCATGATGAAAATAGCCCAGGAAACCTATGGAACCCAAAACTCAAAGGTCCTTGGCTGGTCCAGGGTGGACTTATTTTGTCCACTGAGGAGTTTACAAGGTAGTCCTGGAGAACAGAGGTCTCGTTCTCACACAGGGGAGCCAGGCACCAGCCTACTCTGGTGATAGGACAAAGTCAGTCATGATCAATAAGAGGTGTATGGTGATGGCAGAGGCATGGCTGCCTTTCTGTGGCTTACTCCTCCCATTGGCATGCCACTTCCCTGAGGGACTCCTCTGCATTGAAGGACCACCCCCTTCCTGAGGGAGAGAAGTCCACTCACCAGAATGAGCCACTCATTGGGCCCTGGACACTCACCACAAACTGACTGTTGACCTTCTCTAGAATTTGCTTCTCGTTAAGTGCCATGGACTCTCCTTTCCTCTTTTTGATCCTCTTCTTTTCCAAGCGCTTGCAAGCATACATTTTACCCGTGGCCCGAACCTGGCAGGCACAGACCTGAAGTACAAGAAAGAAACCAAGGTCACAGGGGCACTGTGGAGGTGTGCCCTAGGCTCCTCTAAGGCCAGGATGCCTGGTCTCCAGGGTGGGAGACTCGTGGGGCCAGCAACCACCGAGCCTGACTGTGTGGGCACTCCAGGCTCATAGGACCCATGATGCCTTGCTCTGGGCCCACTGCTGCTCTGCCTCACCCCTACAAGCTACCTTCGTGTGACCTCCCCTGCCCTCTTCCCCCCACGAGGAGGCTCCTAGCCCTTGAAGGCACAGAATCATCCATTCACACGGTGTTTAGAGGCTGGTTGAGGTCTCAGTGCTGTCTCTCAGGAGCAACTGAATTTTCTCCTACCAGCTGCTGGTAGGAGAGGTTGATATGGGGGGGGGAGCAGTGAGGGAGACCCTCGAGAACCCTGATTTATAATTCAGAGGAATGAGAAGCAGGGCATTTGGGCTCCAGTCTTAAGTTTGCTCTCATTGCTATGTGACCTTGGCTGGGTGATCTAACTATTCTGAATCTTGGCTTTTCTCATTGCCAAAATAAGGATACCAAGGCTCACCTCACGAATTGGGAAGGTCGGATAGCATATCAGGTCATTGGAAAAGTTGTGATGTATTTTTCTAGGATTTTTTAGGCAAAGATGTGACTTTTCCAACAATTCAATACAACGAAATCTCTGATCTTGTGTAACAGTGCATTGCAACGGCTTCCTCCAGACACAAAAGCGGCCCTTGTATGTCCTCAAACGCAACCCTCCGCAGACACAACCCACAGACAGGAAACCTGGGTGGCTGTGAGCACCTCCATCTCACCTGGCCCTGCTCGGGCAGCAGAGGGCTGCTGGACACCTTTTGTCCCACCTGGTGCTATCTGTGGCCAGCTGATCTGCACCCTCCTCTCTGCCACCAGGGGGCCCACCACTCAGCAGCTGGTCTACAAGACACTAGGCAGACCCAGACAGGACTGCAAAGGTGACTAGGGGGCAGGAACTAATTTTCTTTTTCCTAGAGACATGGTCTGCCTATGCCTGGCCCAAGTTGGCCTGGAATGCATGATCCTCCTGGTTCAGCCACTTCAGAAGCTGAGATTACAGGTACACACCATCACACTCAGATAGGGTAAAAGAACCTTCTATTGAAAAGGTGGATATTCACTCACCTCACCGAAGCCCCCTTTTCCTAGAACTCGATACTGTCTGAAAGTATTTTTGGTCACCGGTTGCCTGGAAAAAAGCAAGAATCCAACATTGGTCTCACGGTGTTGATTCAGAACCCATAAGAAATCAATGGCACCCTTCAAAGTAGCCGCTGGGAGGCACAATTCCATGACTCCACGCCAGCCCTGCGGCCTCCAGGAATTATCTCTGTAGACTAGACTTTCAAGGATTGACTGGACATCCAAGGATTGAGTCTGAGACCAGGTGTTCAAATCCTAGGCCACCGACTCTGGGTCCCCTCTAGGCCGAGGGACAGGCAGCCTTCCCCTGCTCAGAGGGCAAAATGGAGGACTTGAAAACATGTGAGCCCTCCAGGCACATGTGTGCGCGTACCCAAAATCCTGAGAGAATGGAGGAGAAGGAATTGTGACATTTCTTATTTTCCCTCTCATTCTCTCTGGCGAGCACACACACTCTATGGCACCTAAGGCAAAAAAAAAAAAGAGAAAAGAAAAAACATGAGCCCAAAGTTGCTTAACCACACTTTCTGTATGATTCCCTCTCTCTCCCCAATGCAAATCACGTGGCAAAACTGGGACGGAAACTGTGTCCTCTGTACAGGGAAAGGGGTGGGGCCAGGAGCCACGGGCCTCAGCATCCCACGGACAGACCACACAAGAGACCACATCCCTCCCAGCACCTGCTGAGCTGGCCCTGAGGATGGCCGCACTTCCCCAGAGCCTGCCCCATTCCTTTCTGCAGGTGCTCCTATGACCCAGGCCAGTAGAAGGTCCAGCCCTAAGAAGACGCAGCCACATTAGGGTGTGTATGACATGATGCTCACTCGCACCCCGTCTGCCCATATGGATTAGCCAAGCCTCCTAGATGTCGGCTCAGACAGAACCTCTGACCAGGAAGCAAGGATGTGCCTCTGGGTGCAAAGGAGCAGACAAACACTCTTCATGTTGCAGCAAAGGGCTTTGTGGTGCAGATGGCTTGTGCTCTCTTTTTTTTAATCGCTGGCCCCCTGTGGCTACGAATAATCAGCTTAAAATGTTAAAATTGGCTTTTGACTTTTTAAGACTATTTTTGAGCATTCCCATCCCAAGAGTCCTGGCCAACCAGGAGGTTGGAGTGAGATTGATTTAGGTTAAAGAATTGGGTCAGCCGGAGAATGACCAGCAAGCCTCTGGTGGCCCGGCAGTTCTTGAATGACTCTTCCATGGAACTCCTACTTGCTGCTGGGTTCTGAAGAGGGTTTGGGTTTCACCGGAAATCACATCTTGGGCACACGGCTGCTCTCTTAGGGCAGCCTTAGAAACTCAGGGCTCTCTCCGGCATCCCTGCCTGGAATTGGCTTGCCGTGACTCACTTCTCCCTGGGTCGGTGTTTACTTAGGAAGGCAGTAGTGGGGCTGCCCTCTACAGGACTCCTGAGGGCCAGCTTCTTCCTTCCGCACAGGAGCAGCATGGTGGGCAGGAGAGAAGACCTGCCGTGCGTCCGCATCCCCACGGCCTGGGAAGCCTTTCCTCCAGCTGCCCTCGAAACCACATGAAGGTGGCCTGGCCTAACAGTTTACGATACATGGAGAACAAACAGTCGGTCAACGTAACCACAGAACTCCTCGGCTAGGAGGAAATGAGTGTAATACAATTTCCCAGGAATTTTTTGGTTAACCTTGGGAGGGGAAAAAAAATCCCTTTAATATGTCAACAGTACAGCATTAACAGGCCATGATCTTACTTGCAAAAAAAGGGCCAGGGTGCTGTCAGTCCTGTAGGGCACTCCTAGGCCAGCACACGGCTCTGCTGGCTCCCAGCACTGCACGCCATCAAAGGGTGAAGCCACTACACTAATTAAACATGCCTATTTCTCTCTTTCACGTGGTTTGTACAGACAAGTAAAATGAAAGCCAGTGGCCCTGGCCAAACTGGAGTTGAAGTAACGAGTGGACTTAGGACTTGAGTGGAAGACACTGTATTCAGGCTCCAGCTGTGCCAGCCCTTGCTGTGTAGCCTGGGGCCAACCTCTTAGCCTCCCCGAGCCTTGCTTCTGCAGCGAAGTGGTGGTAATGAAGAGGCATGTGCGCCTTTATGAGTGTCAGATGTCATTATTCAAATTCCTAAGAATAAAGTACATGGCCCTCTTTGGGGGTCTCTATGCCAATAAGATCCACAGCTCAAAGCCCCCTACACACAGACTCACTTGATCCTCACACCAGCCTCAGAGAGGCTGTCCCTATTCTGTAAATGGGAATGCTTAGGTTTCAAGAGGTAAATGAGTTGCTCCAGGTTCTGGCTGGTAAATGGTCTAGGCAGCTCCCTGCAGAGCACACCTTCTGCATCCCAGCCCCACACGGTCACCTCAGGAAGGTGGGTGCAGGCCAGGGGTACAGCCCCAGAAAGCAATATGATGAATGCATCTCCAGATGCCCCTGATGGTTAGAGCCAGGACTGACCACCCAGCAAGGGTCAGCAGTTCCTTTCAATATCAGACATGGGAGGTGAGAATGGTGAAGAGGGGGATGCTGATGATCAGGTGGTAGCCATGGCCACCATATTCAGCAGCTCACCTCCTGCGGCCAAATGGCTCTCCTCCTTTGAGCACGTGCTACTCCAATCTTATCTTCACCCCAGGCCGACAAAAGCAGGCATCTTTATTCCCATTTTACAAATGAAGAAACTGAGATATGGAGGAGGGACACCCGTCCTAAGTCCCCTCCCTAGAAAGAGGGGGAGCCAGGACTTGGAGACTGAAGGACTCCTTAACAGGATGTTTGGGATGATCCTTATTTTCTCCGGCTTTCCTGAAGCCATGAAGTGAAGGTGCAGAGGGCCAGGGGGCCAACAGAGAAGGTCATCCACTGGCTACTGTCTTCCCACCTGTCAGGGTGGAGAGAAATGGCTCGTCCAATGACTGCAGAGCAGGGTGCTTTGTCGCTGGGCAGGGCAGGGGTGGGGAGTCAGGGTTTAGAAGGGCTCCTACCCAGTAGCTTTCTAAGTGTCTGCAGGAGGTTCTCCAGGCTGTAGGCTGACTTACATCCAGGCAGGCAGGTGCATGATGGTCCTTGCTCTCTAATCATGTGCACCCAGAGGGCTGTGAGGGCCAGGATTCCAGGGACAGAGAACCCTGGGCTGTGGAAGGGAATAACCCACCCTTGTCTACCAGCCTAGCCCAGAATAGATCTAACACAGGCATTGCTCTGTTGTGCAAACCCTGAAAGGTTAGAGGTGGGCAGATCCATTATTTAATCTCCAGAGAGTCTGGGGTCCTGAGCTGGGAGTCCCGGGCTAGGGTCCCCCTCGGCTTCACTGCTAGGTGATAAGATGGGTCACCTTTGTGTCTCTGTCTCCTCCTCAGTTACAGAAAGGCCACACCTGCCCAAGTCATAACCATACACAAGACAGCACTTTGAAGAGATGAAAGCAGGAAATAAAGCATGAAAAGAGGCTTGATCTCACCATTAGAGAGATGAAAAAATAAACCAGGATAAAACCCCACTGTTCACTTGTCAGGTAGGAAAACATGGAACAGTGTTGATGAAGCTGAGGAGAAGCAGGCACTCAGGCACTGGTGGGACTGGAACTTGGTGCGGCTATTTGGGAAGGCAACTGAACATCCCTCACCGTTCACAATCAGGTGCCTTTTGACCCAGAAATTCCTCTGCTAGAAATTTCTATAGATATACATGCATAACTATGTAAAACGCTACATACAAAGAGGCTCATTATTTAGGAAAGTTTGCATGAAAAATTAAGAATAACCTCAATGCCCAACAACAGGGCATTGGGTTAAATTAAGGATGTGCGGCTATTTCAAAGAATGTGGTAGCTCTTTATTTGTTGGCAGAGGAAGAATTTCCAAAGACAGTGAACCAAAAAAGTACGAACAAGATGCTGTGTGTGTGTGTGTGTGTGTGTGTGTGTGTGTATACGCATGCCTGCACACTTTAATAAGCATAGAGCATTTCTAGATTACACAAGAACTTAATTAACAGGAGGAGGATAGTTTGTTTTATTTTAACCATGGGCCCATGGGAGGTAGCTGGTTTTTATATGAACTCTCAGATGAGAAACCTGTATCCCCACCTCCTCCGTTCATACACACTCAGGCATGTGGGATACTCACCTTTCCAGCCATTTCCACTGGAGAAAGCGGTCAAAATACATGCTGTCCAGATATTTGTGGAATGGCTCTCCCTTTAGGTAGTCATGGACAGACCTGGTTCACAGGAGACAGAACAGTTCATAATCCTGATCTAGAAGCAGCCCACCCCAGTAGATTCACTCTTAGCCTCTTCCATTTCCAGCCTTTGGAAATGCAAACAAACAGGGCTTCCCAACAGATGTGCCAGTTTGGTTAAGGGCCCTGCACAGGTTGACATTGCGATGGGGGATGCAAGCAGTACCTAAAAAAACACTAAATCATCCCAGATCTGTCCTTATAGGTCAGGGACCTCTGTGAAGAAGGACTCTTAGACTGACATGAGAACAGATTAAGACTTTATAACGGGCAAGAGAGGGCCTGGGGTTAGAGGTGATGGGTGGTAGGGACAGAGTGGGGAGGGAGTTCCTGGAGGTCCAGGCTCTGGATTTGGTCTGGAATAGCAAAGCTACTGGGAGTTTTTCCATGTATGTAGCAGAAGTTACAGTCAGCTGCTGTAGGCCAGGGGCCAGGCTGGGCCCTAGGACACTGTGGGCGCCTATGTGTCTTAGGCCATCAGACCAAGGCCTGGCAAGTTTGTGGACCTGGCTGCAGGCAGGGAAGGGCTTCTTCCCTTTAGAAAGGGCCATGCTGACCAGTCTAGCCCAGGCACCTGGGACCTGGGGAAGGGAAGACTCCATGGCATGGGAGGGGCACAATAGAGACTGTATCCTTCTAAACCTGAAAACAGGCCAGCGTGAGGGCCAGCCTGGCCATTCCTTCAGGCTCAGGGTCACCAGCCAGGACCCCACCCACTGTCAGATCTGACTCTCGGCCAGCTCCAAGGGAGCAGCAGCCAGGCTCACCATGCTCACTGGGCCCCTCCCAGCTCTTCTCACAGTGCAGTGTGGTTTTCCTTCTTCTTTTTTTTTTTTTTTAGTTTTTGCTATAGGGTGTGTGTGCTTGCCAGAGAGAGAAAAAGTGAAAAGTCACCTCCTGGGGGGATGGCAAGACCATAATCCCTCTCCTCCATTCTCCTCTCCAGATTTTGGGCATGCATCCACATGTGCCTGGTGTGTTTTTCAAGCCACCAGGTCCATGACTCAAACTGCTCAGATGGCCATGTGGGATCCAGACAGCTTAACCACTATGCCACAGCTGGCCCGGTTGTGGTTTTCTTGTATAAGCTCCATGAAAGGCAGGACTGGGTTCTTTCCACTTTGGCATTCCTTAGCACCTAGCACAGTGCTGTGTGCACAGTAGGTCCTCAACTAAGATCTGTGGTGTTGACTACGGCTGCACAAAGAGCCCAGAGATACATCTGGCTGTGTGAGGTGGTCTGGCTCTGGCTGGCTCTTGGAGTGTGTGTGTGCACGTGCGGGTGCATGTGTTAGCTTATGAGCAGCGTGAGCACGTGTGTGCACCTGTGTGTGTTTCTAGGTGCGCATACCTTCAGGGATAGGATAAAGGCATAGCTGGCACCGCATACACACGTGTCTCCTTCTCCTTTGGGGGGATGTGTGGCCGACATGTGAGGCGATGGAGTGTGGCTAAGACCCCCTACCTCAGCCCATTAGCATCGCCTCTGGTGGGTGGCAGGGGTGAGAGCTGGGGGATCCTGGGAAGGATTTCCAAACCACTAGAGCAGGGGCAGATTTTGTACACTCCCCTGCCGCAACAGCCTGGAGAGCCACTTGCTTTCAACACCCTGGAAGCAGATGTTTTCCTTGGACTCGGCAGCCCAGTATCTTTTTCCCTTCATGAGAAGTATACAAACAGTTGGGTGGCTTGGCTGGGGGCCTTGGGCACAGAAGACCTGCCTTGGTGCCCAGCACAGCCAGGTGGAGGGGTAGGGGCAGCCCCCCTGCAGGCAGCCTGACACCCCCGAGAGGCTGGGGAGTAGGCTGGAGCACTTACTGCACACAGGCTGAAAAGACTTCTTTGCAGGGCTTCTGCAGGAGCTTCTCCTCCGTCTGGGAAACCAGGTCTTGGCCAACTCGGGCAATGAAAACTGGGGACTGGAAGAAGGAAAGGGAGGTGGTCAGTCAGGAGAGAGGAGTGGGGTGTCAGGGGCTGCCTCAAAAGTGCTGGGCCAAGAACCAGCCGGGCCCCTGGAGACAGCGCACAGCAGCCCATGCCCTGGTCTCACTTGGCACTGAGCTATGTGGACGGTGCTCGGTGGTACGCTGTTGAGAAATAACAATTTCCCCCAGAATAAATCAATGAAACCACCAGGTAAAGCCTCTGACCTAGATCCTGGCACGCACTACCAAATGTGAACTAAATGTCACTACCATCATTTCATTCACCTTCCAAGTTCAGCTGCTCGCCTGAGTATTTCAAGGTCGAAAGGACAGTTCAAGAGTTTTGCACCCTGCTGGGAGCAACAGCCCCCTCTGGAAGGCAGCAGTGCACAGGGCATGCCTCACCCTCTCCTGCCCCGCCTTCCCATTCACCACCAGCTGCTCCCAGGGGCTGACTCACCAGCTGGGCTTTGAGGTGGGTTTTTAATAAATTACGGGGATAATTGAGAAAATTGCCAGGAGTAGGCCGAGAAAGACAGGGCATAGACACATCTTTCTCCCCAAAGGACGCTGAAATCTGAAAGGCTTGCTTTCTCTTGCCTGCTATTGAAATGTGACTATGGGGCTGATTGCTCTGTTAAGTCCGCTGGGCGGTTTCTGT